GGGGGGGGGGGGGGGGGGAGCATCTCTGGAGGGAAGCACGGGGAGTGGAACTGTCGAAAACCCAAAAGAAGTTTTCTTTTGGATCCTAAGCCAAAGCGAACGTGCTCTAAAAAAATTCATCAAGCACTTAATTTTGAAATAAAAACTGAATTGGCTTAAATGCAGCAGCACGGTAATAAAAGAGACCTGGAGGCGTTGAATGGCTTGTTGGAAAGTGAGAACAGAGGATGCCGGTACCAAATTCTTGTTGTCCTTTGATGACTCCTGCTCCGTTGAAGCTGAAGAATGGGTTGTGGCAGAAGGACGGGAGAACGTTGCAGTTGAAGAAAAGCATTTGCGCTTGAAAATTGGAGGTGTGCTGGGATTAATTCTGTGGGCTGTTGTGAGGAGAAAAGATATATGAGGCTTATATTTGTTGGGTGTTTTCTTGAGAATGGATGTCACTAACGGTAGTGACAGTATTGCCATACCAGTAGAGATTCTCTGTAAGGGTGGGGAAGGGAAAAAAGAAGGCTGAGCAGAAGGCGAAACAGGTGTAGGGAATATGGAACCTTGGATTGACAGGGTTGTGCCTTGTGGACTGGAACTGAGCAGCTAAGATTTTAAAGAAGTTTGATTTTACAAGTGAAGGGTCGCAAGATACTGGACCGGGCCCATAAGCAAGGGCCGAAATCATGGACCTAGTCCTTGTCATGTGCATTGTGAGTATTTTTGTGGGAAATTCTGTTTGTAATAGTGATAGTTGGGTCTAGGATGTAAATGTTGGGTATTTATATGAAGCTTAGTTGCTAACATAAATACTAAATTGAAGGCATGTAACACAGATTCAAGTAAGGATCATTATTTGTCGAAATTCTGTTTGTAATAGTGATAGTTGAATCGGGATGTAGATGGTGGGTATTTATATAAAGCTTAGTTGTTAACATAAATACTAAATCAAAATTATGTAACACGCATTCACGCAAGGATCATTATTTTCTGGAAATTCTGTTTGTAATAGTGATAGTTGAAGCTTAGTTGTTAACATAAACATTAAATTGAAGGTATGTAACACATATTCACGTAAGGATCATTGTTTTGTCAGCATCGCATATTTTGTAGACACTAAAGGCAAGAATACTAGCATTAATGAGTTCAAAGAGGTATCCTCGATGTCGATGGTCTTCACTCGTGCATAGGTAGATCATTATCATGTTAAACAGCGTAGGATGTCATTGTCTTTACTATTAGAATAATAAATTCTAAGAAATGCCATGTTTGTAGGAATTTCAAATTTTAATATCGGTGAAGCTGATTAAAAATGCATTCCTAGGATTGGATGATACATTTACTGTCATTATTTCTTTTGAATAGAGTGCATCACCGGATGAAAATTTGCTTATTTTTTTATGTTAACATAATATGCACAAGGTTCTTCAAATGTCGACATTAAAAGTATTAGTCCCTTAATATGTTCTCATAGGATCCATTTGGAAGAAGGGGCTAGTCTTGAGGAGACCCTCAACAACGACTTAACCATACCATGAAAGAAGTTGAAAATGAGGTATTGAAACTATTAGATGCCAATATCATATACCCAATTGCTGATAGTAAATGGATTAATCCAATTCAGGTAAGAAATCGTGGGTTACTACAGTTGAAAATGTTGATAGAGTACATGTCCCAACTAAAATAGTGACATGATGGTATGTGTGCATTGATTATGGAAAACTAAACGGTGCCACCTACAAAGACCATTTTTCACTTCCATGTATTGATCAAATATTAGAATGACTAGCCAGGCATCCTTTCCATTGCTTTTTAGATAGATATTATCAGATTGAAATTGATTTAAAAGATTAGGAAAAGACTACATTTACATGTCATTTTGGTACTTATATGTTTTGTTTTATGCCACTTGGTTTATGTAGTGCGCCTATTACTTTTTGAATGAAATACTATTTAGTGCCAATAGTGCTAGAGTATCGATCTATGTAGCTACATTTTATAGGTTCAATTAAATGAATATTGTGAATTTGCATTTAAATGAATCTATCATCTAATGATATTTGATTGTCAACTAAGCTAGTGCTTAATACAAGTGGTGATAAATAACAATACTGTTTTAAGATATGTATGATGAGTATTTTTAGGACTTGTTCGGTAGTAATTTTGAGAATTGATTTTTGATCGTTAGAAAGAAAAGTGCATCCTACCTATGAGAAAAATAAATAAATAAATGACAGCCGAAATAGTGAAATAACGGTTAAAATTTTGAATTTTTGGGGAAAAAATCAATGCAAAACATGTATTTAGTGATATGGTTGACAAATGCATGAAAGTGTTTATCAATGATTTGACTGCGTTTGGTGATTATTTTTACGCATGTTACCTAGCACCTGATGCAACTCATTAAAATTATATTTTAATAAGACATTATTTGAGCCACATTATTTTCATAAAAATATATTTTTGAATAGTGTGTTGGGAAATGTGTGATTAAAAAATAAAGAAATTTTTTGAATTTGTGTGTATTGTTATTTTATTCAAAAATGTATAATTAAAATAATGTCAAATCACTATTGAAAAATATATTTTTTTTCCAAATAATGTAACTCAAACAGGGTCTAAGATTGCTAATTTTTGCACAATACATTTATCTTTAAAAAATCTTGCAAGAAAGGAAAGTTGCCAGGAAAGAGAAATTGACAGGCATTGAAATTTAGTTTACCTATTCTATCCTCAACTTTTGACTTCAAATTACACGTAGTCTCCAGTTCATTCTCTCCCAAATTTACTCATGGACCAAGCTACACGAACCACAGGGATGACTGCATACACGCACATGGGAGGTTGGGAATTTTAAATTCAGGTAGGACCCATCTTGACCATGTGAGAGCACGGTCAGCCGTTGTGTTAGCCTCTATGATCGTTTGGCTTAATTCTTTACTAATATCCCTTCCAACACTCCATTTCAATAGAAGCATTCACAATAATTGTGATTTTTCAATATTGAAATTCGATGATAGTTCACAAAAAAGTTTCTACAACGTACAATCTAAAAAGTTTTGTCTAGCAAGCTCTACACAAAAATTGAGTTTCTTTATCAGGAATGAGAATACACTTCCTTGATTTTAGATTACACTGCAAAAGTTTTTCTATACAACTTAGTTTTAACCTTTTGAGACAAAGATGGACAACAATCAGAGTGTGAACAAGAATTATCCACACAAAATGGTAGAAGATTTTTTTCCTTTACACAAATGATAACTAAAATGTTGATTATTCGATTTTTCTATTGTTGCTTTTTAATAATTCTACAGATATACAACAAGCAACACATTGCATCTTCATGGTAGCTCCATAAGTCACTCAGTTGGGCGAACGCAGACATTTTACATTAGGAGGTCACAATCAAACTTTTAAAAAAGTGGCGAATTTTTTTTTATTACTTTACACTATAAAAAAAAGGGCTCTAGCGACCAACCCTTTAGCAACCATAAAAAAGTGCTGTAGTATACTTTCACCGACCATAAATTGGTCGATGCAGGGCGTTGGTCTGCTAAAATTGAAATTTTTTTCAGTACTCTTTTTGCGACCAATATGTGGTTGCTGATTATCATTTTTAGCAACCACCAAATGTTGGTCGCTAAATAATCGGTCGCTGCATATTCAGCGACCAACTAGTGGTCGCTGGTAGAATGTTCCAGCGACCAAATTAGTTTAGTTGTTGAAAGACTTGGCGCAGTTACGACTCTTGTTTTTTTCCACGTTTCTTAGATTTTTTAGCGATCACACAATGTGGTTGCTGATTAGTACAATGTTAACTTCCAGCAACCAAATTTTATTTGGTCACTGGAATAGTTGGCACCATCACTCCTGGTTATTTTTTTCAACGTTTTGACTTCTATAGCGACCAAATTCATTGTTCCCTGATTAATCCAAGGTTTCAGTAACCAAACATTGGTTGCTAGTGTATACCTTTCAGCAACCAAATTTTGTTGGTTGCTGGAACACTTGGCGCCATCACACTCGCTTGTTCTTTTCAACATTTTGACTTCTATGGCGACCAAATTGTTCTTTTCAACATTGGTCGCTAGTGTATGCCTTTCAACAACCAAATGTACTTGGTTGCTGGAATACTTGGCGCCATCACTCCCGCTTATTCTTTTCTACTTTTTTTTTATAACGACCAAAATGTTTGGTTGCTGATTAGTACAAGTTTCTAGCGACCATATATTGGTCCCTGGTCTATATCTTTCAGCTACCAAATCTTTTAGTTGCTGGAATACTTGACGTCATTATTCCCACTTATTTTTTCAACTTTTTCGAATTCTATAGTGACCAACTTTCGTGGTTGTTGATCAGTATATGATTTTGGCGACCATAATCGACAATACTATACTCTATACTATGCTTGCTAGAACATTTTTTTTTATTTAAAAGAGGGTGTTACCTGCGAAATTTTATTAATTTGCCCTTACTTGTGGCGAAGGATACCTGGTTACATATGAAAATAATGAAAGCAGTAAATCAAGAATACTACTTCACTTACATTAACTAGAGAGGAGACGTTTTAAGATTTGTATCCTTAAAATGGAGGAAAGTGAGAGAGTCAAGAGACGTGTTTTTTCTCAGGACTCTGAGACTTCAATTGGTAATCATCTTCATTATTCACCAAAAGAATTATCTCTATTCCCTATACGACAATTCATATTTCCCATTAATCTCCAGTTGAAAATCTGAAGTACTCATTCATTTTTTTAGTCAATCTTTTTTCAAGACTCAAATTCAACTCGTCAGGTTTTAAAGTGGCCAAGCACGCTATTGACCTGAACGTGTGGATTGAGGAAGCACGGGTAAAATTTTCGAGGAGAAGTTAAAGGCAGAAACATATTCCTGTTGTCTGTTGAAGTAGCTTTGGCTTCATCTCTTTCCTGTATGGCATTTTGAGAAGTTGAATAATTGATTTAATTGCTTCACGATTCACATATTTCTTATTGGATCCTGTAAATTATTTTAAAGTATTGAATCCTGTAAATGGTCAGATTTGTTTATTCTGTTTATTTATCTGATTTCTTCTTATTAATTAATTGCTTTAGATGGAGATTGCTATTCCATAGGCACTATGCAAAAAAGTACAGAATAATGTAGTGATCAATGATCATATATAATATTCTTTGCGCCTAAATATTGATTTATCATTTATAGGATGCAATAATTTTATTATAATGTACATTTTAATTCTCAGAGTTGGTGGAAGATCTCAAGTTTTTATACTCATTGGGTTTGGTTTATTCTATAGGACTTGATCAATTGTTTTCTTTTCGATATCAATTGAATCTCAATTCTCTAGTAACTAATATCTATATGAAGCGATAATTTTACCCAAATCCTTTATCTTTTATCAAAAACTGCAATCATATAGTTAGTATCTTTCACTAAAATGAATTCCAATTGATAGTTATCCCTTGGGAAGCTTAATTTTCTTAAGTTATTTATAGTAAAATAAAGTTACGTTGACATGTATGCATAAAAATATTTATCTTGTTTTTATAAGGCTGTTTGTTCATACGAATGTGACCATTTGTAAATATCCTCCATAG